TCCACAATAGCCTGCTGTTCAGAGTCTTGTAATCCCCAAATTTAAGAAGTGATTGATAATGTGGTGGTCCTCTCTCTGGGTACCAATTCAAGTACAATTGAGTTCGCTTTTACTTGGTGTGAAGAATCTCTGTCCCGTATAAGAGTATCAACACATGGCATAATGGGAAGCCAACAGTTCTGGAATGTACCTATCTCTCGCCATATGCTAACGGCACTTCTACAAACTTGCCACGCTTCACAATCCCCCTTAGACACTAGGTGCTTTTCGTAGTCCGTTACCATGGACATTACAACATCTTAAGCGAGCCCCGCCTTTTATGCAATCAAACTTTAATACACAAACAGACCTGTATTGTACGCCACAGTCGCACATTCCTAAGGTTGGATTTGGCACATTACCGGTTTTTATACTCAAGCTTGATAACAATCAAGCTACACACGCCTGTCAGAACTCTCGCTTGTCTACACTAACAAGACTTGGCTGCTTTGGGAGTATATAGTTTGTCAGCCATAGGATCCCTACATGCTTACGATCTAACAATCTAACCTGTTAATTGCTACAATCCACCATCGCACTACTGGGAGGGCAACTGTGCGATGCAACACTATGTAAGTTGTGTTATCGTGGACCTGTGAAGAAATCTCTTGTGTGTCTGTGTGTGCATTACGGCCAAGAATGTACATATTGTTAAACACACAAGTTGTTGTACATAATTTATATGCAGCGAGAAATCTACCTGGGCATAAGGTTGGGAAGTATTAGAGGTGCAGCGATCACAGATTTCCTCTCTGACCCAAACTAAATCCCTTTTCGAGATCCTAATCATTCCCAAGGTGATCACCGGCTAAAACAGTCCCCCCCCCTCCCTTCGTACTGCCACACAAATTGGACCTGACCAAACTGTCCGAAAAATCGTCAATCAAAAAGACAGTTACCGATCCCCGGGGTGGGAGTTGGAAGTTCCCTAACAGCCGATGGCGATCCAAGCCGGGTAAGGTAGACACCCAGACATCACGACTAAAACCCTTATCGGAGCGGCGGTTTCTGTTTTCGGATTTCTTTTCCCACGGGATAACTCTACCTAATCACAAGATCACACTAACACGTCGAACGTGATCAAGAAACAGCCATGTGTATGTTCAAGCCCAAGCATCTCTTCCACTACGACGAGACCACTGGAATGGGAACCGTCTCGCTTATACAGCACGACCTCTACGTGGACAATCTAAGAAGCTGGGAGATTGAACAGATGGAGTTTGACAAAGGCGAGCTCGACAAGTACCATGACCAACAACCACCAGCGTACTGTCCAGTCGATAACGACCAGGCACCACCACCACGGTACCAGCTACAGCAGCAGCATGGATCGCATCACTACATGGATCACAAGAACAACAAGTGCCTACCATTACCTGTTACAACCCCAAGACGCAAGCTCACACGGTTCTCCCGCTTGAGAACGCACATGTTCATCATAACACTGTGTTTAGTCTTACTGGGTCTTCACACAATGGCATCACACTGTGGTTGAATGCCCACTATGAGCCACCACGTATAGACAGATGAGCCCCATACATCACATGCCATATATACACAAGCTTACTATACAGTAATAATATGAAAAAAAGATCACAGATTAATATAATTGTTCGGTGAGAGTACTCTATCTATGTACTTGTCTTATACCACTGTATTACAGAATGGTTGGAGCAGAGTGATCAGTTATCGTCGATGTGCTGATCGTGCAACTTGGCATAACGACCACTTGGGTCTTCAGCACAACCCCAGTCAGCCTTTGGAATCCATCTCATAACAGTCTCAGCAGCAGCCTTAGATGGGAACAACTCGTCAAACATACATCTGTACCAGTATGCCTCCTTGGTGGTTGGAATATCGTCACCCCATTCAGGTTTGGCGATCTTGAACTGCTCATCAGAGATGGTCTTCTCAGCAGTGTCCTTAAGACAGTCGATCCAGGAGTAACCAACACCATCGGAGAACTGCTCCTTCTGTCTCCAGAGGATCTCCTCTGGCAAGTATGGCTTGACGTCCGGTTCGTCGGTTGTGTCGAATGCCTTTCTCAGGATGTACTTCTCGATACGTCCCTCCTTTGGCTTGATGAGCTTCTCCTCTGGGTTGATGTTCATACAAACGTTCAAGAACTCCTTATCCAGGAATGGGACACGGGCCTCGAGACCCCAGGCCATGGTGGACTTGTTGGCTCTGAGACAGTCCGCCAAGTGCAAGTTCTTGACTCTCTTAACACACTCGGTGTGGAACTCTTGAGCGTTTGGCGCAGAGCCAAAGTACAAGTAACCACCAAAGATCTCATCAGAACCTTCACCTGAGAGAACCATCTTGACACCTTGGGCCTTGATCTTTCTGGAAAGCAGGAACATTGGGGTCGAGGCTCTGATGGTGGTGACATCGTAGGTCTCCAAGTGGTAGATCACGTCAGAAAGAGCATCAATACCTTCCTCCAAGGTGAAAGTGTGCTCGTGGTGGATTGTGTTGATGAAAGATGCCACCTTTCTAGCAGCAAGCAGATCTGGAGCACCTGGAAGACCAACGGCAAAAGAGTGCAACTTGCTCCAACCGTGGGCATGCAAATGACCAGCATCGTCAACACCAGCGAGTTTGTCGTCGTCTTCATCACCAGCAGAGGCCGCCTTGGCTGTCTCTCTGGCAGCGATGGAGGCGATCAACGAGGAGTCCAACCCACCAGAAAGCAAGACACCGTATGGAACCTCGGCCATGAGTCTCTTTCTGACAGCCAACTCCAAGGTCTCTCTGACCTTCTTGTAGTCGACAGGCTCCGTTGGGATCCTGTCCTCGTCCCACCATGAAGGCTGGAAGTATCTGGTGAACTTATCAGTGACAGAGTCGTAGACGTGGCCTGGTGGGAATGCGATGATCTCATCGCACTCGTCGACAAGACACTTGAGCTCGGAGGCAAAGTATCTGGTCTCTGGGGACTTGGAGGACTTACCCATGTAGAGCGTCACGACACCGATAGGGTCTCTTGCGGCAATGATACGGTCCTTAGGAGCATCGTACAGCACAAAGCCAAACATACCGTCCAGGTGCTTTGGAGCGTCAATGTCAAACTTTTGGTACATTGGGATGATCGGCTCACAATCGGACAAGGTCTTGAACTTGTAGTCACTGCACTCCGCTCTCAAGTGGATCTGGTTGTAGATCTCACCGTTGACCGCGAGGATCAACGACTCGTCCTCGTTGGTGATCGGCTGGGCACCGGAGTCCAGACCGACAATGGACAAACGCTCATGGCACAAGATTGTCGAGTTCTTGGTGACGTTACCAGACCAGTCAGGACCACGGTGTCTGATTCTCTTAGCGTACTGCAAAGCCTTAGGCTTGAACTCGGCAATGTACTCCTGTCTATAAGCAGCGAAGATACCACACATAGCTAGCTTTTCGTTCTAATTGAGAAGAGTATGAGTGATCAAGAAGTAGAGGAAAGTGGGCGAAAGAAAAGAGATTTTTCCACTTTTGAAGGCATCGCCGAGGTTTTGTCCTTTTTTCACATTTTTGCTTTCTTTTTTTTGTCCGACTGAGTCACTCGGTACGCGCACACTGATAATGGGATCGCCCGGGCCACATGACCACCAAGCGATAACCATGTTTATAATAGTATAATCATGATATAATCATGATATAATATAACGGAGCAGGACGGTATGGGTGTCGTATGTATAAAAGTACTTATAATAATATAGAAGAAACAGATATATAGAAGATAAGATATATAAGAGGGAATAAGAGAGAAATGCCGTTAAGATGTGTGCGAGTGTGCGTGCTCTAGTTCTTCAACTCGGAGTCTGCGATGCTTGGTGCGTAGCTTGGAACGTTGTAGTCTTCCGGTTCCAGTTCGTCATAGATGTCGTCCTGCTGGTCATCATCATCATCATCCTCCTCGTCATCGTCGTGCTCATAGAGCCCTTCATCATCATCCTCGTCGTGTTGTTCTCCTTCCTCCTCTTCACGGTCCTCGGCTTCAATCTTCATCTCTTCACAAATGTCGTAGCATTCGGCCAACAGCGCAGTCAGGGTACCTTGGCCTTCTGGCACTTGGCCATCCACAACAAACTTACCGTCCTCACGGAGATTGTCGAGAGAGGCAAGCTTCATTTGGTATGGATATAGCTCCCTTGCAGAGTTGATACCACCCATACGCTTCACCTCCAACAGACATCTTCTAACAGTGGACAGCTGGTTGTGGATAGGCTGCAATGCTTCGCTGACAGGCTCACTGGACTCTAGCAGCTTGTAGACAAATGCATAACAACGTCTCAAGAGGTACAGCAGCACAAATTGGCCCTTTGAAGAGTCCTCGGAGGATGTTGGGAACTTGCCGTTTACCCTGGTGTCGTCAATCTCTTGCAATTGCTTCTGGTAGGTGTAAAGGTCTGTTTCTCTAAGGGTCCATCTACGAGTAACCAGCAGATCCTCCAAGGTGGTTTTCAGCGTGAGCAGACGCTCATAGATTGGCTCAAGAGTCTTATCCAACTTGAAGTTATGTGCGTGTAGATCGTTGATCATGATGGTACAATCATCGAGCAAACCGTTCAATACTCTTTGACCTCCAACAACAACTTGACCAGTCTCAAGGGACTGGAACTTACCTTCGGAATCTCTGTGCGTTCTCAACTCCTGCAGTTCAGCCTCCAAAGGCTCCAGCTCCTTAGGATCAAATGAGTCTGGTCTAGAGGCAACACCAAGCAGTCTTCTTCTTAAAGAGACGAGCTTCTCCAAGAGACTCTGCAATTGTGGAGAGACACCGTCGATTTTATGCTCAACTGTTTTGTATTCATCCAGGCACTCTTGCAATTTGTTCTTCAAGAGGGAATGTTCCTCCTCCTCAACGCTGCTCTCCTGGATAATCTGCTCAATCTCATCCAATCTCTGCTTGATAGGTGTCAGGTCATGGTGTGTATACACTTTACTCTCGCTGAGGTGCTCCAACAAACGTTGGACAGTGATCAGGGATGCATAGGTTGCAGGGGCAGCCTTGGTCAACCCCACGGCAAGGAAGAACAACGAGAGCAGCTGGAACACATCGTCAAGCACTTGGTCAACCCTGTTGGCGATCTCATTCTCGGTGTGATTGGCCTTCCGGATCTTGTGCAGCTCGTGGACATGGGACATAACCTTCCCGTAGACGGTCTGGACATCCTTCGAGTTGAGATATTGGGAGCGATCCTTCTTCAAAGCGGACAGCTTGGAACGAATCTCCGTCAATGAATCAAACACTTCACGCTCGGAGTCTGGGACGTCGTTTGTATGTGGCATTTTCTCTGATTGGGCCTTTGTCTGTGTGTGCAATCCGGCCTATTTTGATTGTTTCCCTCTAGTCCAATTTCGATTTAACGATTTGTCCTTTCGAGATAGAATTTTGGTTGCTTTTTAAGGGGATAAACAGTTTTATCCAGGTGCTTTTTCAATTTTCCTCTTTAACCTATGTGTGACTTTTTTGTCTGTGTTTTTTTTTGGGGGGCCTCACAGTTTTGTCCCATGATCCTGCTATGGGCTAACTTTTGTGCCGTCGTGGCCGAGGGCTTTGGCAACAGGACATGAGACATGAGATCGCACAGCAGTAAAACAATTAGAATTTGGAAGGATATGTGGAGAGCAGCTGCACAGAGCGCAAATAATCACCACACTCTGGTCTGTGTGGGAGGCACTATCTTTGGAGGTGGCCCACTAGCACCGATCGAGAGGACCAACCTGCCTAGAATTCGGTGTTAATCACCTTCGCAAACACTTCATTGTCTTGACATTATGTTGTAGATCAAATGAGTGCCCCTGGGGCCTACACGATTAAACTTAAAATAACTTAAAAATCGTAACACCGTGATACAAGGAACAAAAAAATATGGGTATATAAAACAGACACAGAAGAGTTCTTGGACAAACGGGACAAAAGACAAGCTTCCTCGCCGTCAGTTGTCATCATCTGGGTTCGCCACACGAAGGATCTTTCTGGAATAGTCAGCCTCGTCTGCGAGAGAACCTTCACTGATACGTCTTCTTCCCAACATGACAGGATTGAGTCGCTGGTCCACCATCGACTCGTCTTTACTCAGGAATGGGTTGGACAACGGTCTGCTGAGTTGCGAGTTGTCACGCTTCATAGCACCGATATAAGCAGAGTCTGCCAGTTCCGCATCGCGCTCCTTGGAGGCTTGACGACGACGACGGAAGAAGAACACGGCAAAGCCGATAAGAACCAGCGCAGCAACACCACCTATGGCACCTCCCACAGCTGGCCCTACTGCGCTTGAGCTGGAGGACTTGCCGGTGGAGCCTGTTGACGACGCTGAAGACGAGGATTCCGTGGAGGAGGAGGAGGAGGACGTTGCTGATGTACTGCCCGTGGCAGATATCGTTTTCGTTGCAGTTTCAGTGGCCGTTGCAGTGTTCGCAACGGTTGAATACAGCACTATTGTGGATCCACTCTGCTCTTGCGTGGAAATTGCAGATCTCGTCTGCTGTGCTGACTGTGTGGTGGATTCTGTGGTTTGTGTAGTTTGCTGAGACGTTGTGCCTGTCTGTTGATTAGTGGTTGTTGAGCCGTCTGTGCTGGTTGTCTGTGCGTTCGTGCTTGTCGTAGCACCTGTACCACTTGTTGTCGTGCTGCTTGATGTGGAGTCGTCGGCAATGGCACTAACGTCGCTATTGGAATACACATCATAGGCATTTGAGCCACCGCACGTCTCGTCGCCGTAACCGTAACAAGGCGTATTACATTGTGATGACGAAGTGGAGTCCGTCGGTGCTGAGGAGCCACAGATACACGTACCACCGTTTGTTAACGCAAAGTAGGCATAGTTTGCACATTGCGATTCACAGTATGAAGAACTCTGGAATGAGTATTCGCTACTCTGTGAAAACGACGAAGGTAAAGAGCTGTAGCACCCAACGTGTGTGATGGCTGCTTGAGACACGCCGAGTAAAGAGAGAAACACCACCAGCGTTGACTTCATAGCTCTCGTTGTGTGTATGTGTCTCTGATGATTAGAACAAGAAGAGAAATGAGTGAATGATTAAAGTCTTGAAGGCTCGGGTATATCGTGGCGGCCTTCTTCGTCCAGTCAATGTCCTAATATCTTTAGTCTCGTGGATTTGTCCTTGTCTGTCCCGTCTCTCCACTAAACCCTGTCTCTATAACCTACTTGAGAATAAAGTCGAGGTGGAAGTTTGTTTCAAGGCCAGAGAGAGAAAAAAAGACTAAAAAAACATCTAAAGGAGAGAAACTGTGAGATTTTAATCAACAGGAAAGAAATGAAAAAGCCTTCCCTCGTGTTGTTTCTCTAGCATTTCTTTTTTTTTTTCAGTTTGTCCGTTTTCTCTCTCTTTCGGTTAAATTTTTGCACCAATTGGCGTGTGAGGCGCGTTAGGACTTTCGAAGGGGGAAGGAGCTAACGCGCGCGTTTGGAACTTTAAAGCCTCGCCAGCTACACAGGATTAACCGTTTTGGTTACAGTCTTCCCTACTCCTAAGCTCTGTTTACCTCAAAAATAAACAAAAAAAAGAAAAAGAGATGATCAAGATGGTCTGGAATCACGACCAGCTTGTCCATGATCACGAGCGTACATATGGAAGCCTACATAGATTTTAACGCTCCTTTTTTGGATCTAGTTAATGTTGTTCGTGTATTCTACTTTGCTCTCAGCTTTTGAATATGACCATAAGCCTCTCTCCATCCATCAACCACAAGGCTCTTAACCTGTGTGATAAACTGACGAATAGCCAAACCTGCGTACTTGTACATATTACTGACGATCAGGTCCTTATAGATGGAGATGAAATTGATCAATCTGTACTTTTCGATGAGTTCACTCACCTGGTACAGATTCAGTACTCCGTTCTTGTAATCGTTGCACAGCACAATTTGGTTTCTCAAGTCGAACCAGTCGTTGAACGTCAGCAAGGCAAAGAGCACAGCACCGAGGATCAGAGAGACTAAGAGTCTCGATTCAACACCTGTACGTGAACCTTGGAGTTGGTACAAGACAAAATAAACAACAAGGACAAATATACAGACCAGCGATTGTCCAAATGGCGTTGACACCAACGAAGGTTGGAGTACAGGAACTGTGTTACAGAACGAATTCACAGGCGCATTGTTAACGTGGAAGAGTTTCGTTAAAGACGCATCTTGTTGTAAGGACAAAGCCTTCGAGTTGAATAAGGAGTTGAAAAAACTGGACATTTGGAACGCTTCAGCGGTGTCGATAAAGTCGATAATACCAGCGGTGTGTTAAGTTGCTTCTTTTATTTGGTGTTGGTTTTTTTATTGTCTTTGATTTTCGCGTCTCCTTGTACCCCGTGTCCAGGCAGATAAGTGCATCTTCAGATTTGTCCGGTTCTGTGTGACATGTCCTGAGACTTTGGTCTAGTTTGTCCATTGGTGGATCCAATCCGGTGAGACATAATAGTACTGTCGCTATATCCAGGGCTCTGCTTCACAGTTCCACTCTGGCTAACCGTGTCAAAGGCTCACACTTGGTGAATAGTAAATTCTACTTTTGAAATCTTTTGCATATCCTCAAACAGAGTCTTTCACACCTACAATTTTGACGGGAGGAGAAGCAGTACAAGACCCTTTCTTTTCCGTCATTAATATCCCTACATGTTTGGAGACAAGGTGGAGAGTTTGTAGTGAGCCTCTTCAATTTTAATGAGCTGCATTCAGATTTGTTTTGTCTTGGAGATCAATTGTACCTCCGTGCGTGGTCCAGTCGGCTCAAGGATGAAGCCCTGATGATACATATAAACGACGGCCATCTTGAATAAATATACAACCTCAATACTGTAAGCCTTTCTTGATCATGAATTAACCCCCAGGCCCTCATTTTTAAAAAAAATTAAAAGCCCTGTCGCAATTATATAAGGACACAGCCAACACTTGTCCAATGTGCTCGGATTATACCTTGAATTATCGACATTGAAGATTTTTGGGCCAGTTTCCATTGATACCTCGACTACTGAATACCGCCACGACTATTTTGATAATGGGCGAGATTATAAGCAGCAATGTGATCACATGGGAACGAGCTACAAGGATAGTTGGTGAGTGTTTCGGGATTCCAAACCGTTATATGCGAATAGGCACTAACAACTCGAGGGGAAGAGACGAATCAGCTGGGTGAACTGTACAGAGATCAGCGCACCACGGACAGGTATCGTGTCTTCAAGGAGAGCTGCATTGCCAATGGCGAGAGTGTCGTCCAGTTCATAGTGAAACATAGATTACAATGGGTCAGCAACGGGCAGGTTGACGTCCAACCTTCTTCAACACGGCTCTTTGCCAATGAGAACGATGTCTGTTTCATTCCAAACGAGTTCCCTTACAATTTCTCCAAAGACATCACACACCTTGTCGTATGGTCAAAGCTCCGAATTCCCTGCGATCCAAACTCCTCGATTGGAGACGTTTCTCCACGCACAAGATGTGTCATTGACAAGTTCATCCACAGGAATTTCGTCGAGCAACTGGGTATGTGTGACGAAGACGTCCTGTGGTTTAGAAACTTCCCGAGTTTACAAAGTGTTGTGGAACTATCGCATGTACATGTTCTGCTGAGAAACTTCCCGGATGCCTTTTACAGAGCAATCGTCAACACCTCTGGGGTCGTCCTCGAAGAGAGCGAAGTTGATGAGATTATGAACTCAGATTAGACTAAACCATAGATTAGAAAGATATAGCTAAAAAACCCTGTATATATACTCATTTCCCAGCATAGAAAGGCCTCGACCAAAACGAGACGAGAGCCTTTGTAGTACCCACTGCTTTTTTAACTTAATAACGTTTTGTCAGTGCTTAAAGCTGCTCCCGGGGATGGCCTTACATCTGTCTGTTCCTTAGACTTTGACCCAAACGTCTGCTTTTCCCTGTGGCTAGAAAAACGGATAAGCCGGGACAAATCTTCTTTTTTCTTCCTTCATTCTTTCTTTTTGACATCGATAACCGGCTACGTGGAGAACGCCTAAAACACGGACAACCAAGACTTGACACCAATAAATAGTCCCCGCCCACATGCTAAGACAAGACTCGACCGAAGCGCTTGTCCAACAAAACGGGATCAGAGCATCTCTAAGGGACAACGGCATTCTCCTAAAGCAACAACTTGTCCTTGATGACGACCATTCTTTCCTCAGTGGATTATGTTCATCCGCGTGCACGCAGTCTTCTCAAGGTGACGGACAGACACTGATCCCATACGCTGAGATCCTCAACGTGAAGTCAGCTCCGTCAACTGTGGACAACGATGACGGTGCTGACGAGTACGAGATCACATTTGCTGCGAAGGTGAGCTCTCAGTCGATCTACGTACCGAGAAGTGTCGTTATCACCGTTGATAACACAATGATGGATCAGGACGTTGTGAAGTTCGTGATGCAAAAGAGCTATTCAGGAACGTCACCTTATAAACGTGTGATGGTGATACTGAATCCACACGGTGGCCAAGGTAAGGCAATAGATCTCTTCATGACGAGGGCCAAGCCCATCCTGGACGCTGCCGGCTGTGCTGTTGACATCTGTAAGACTGAGAAGTACAGACACGCTGTGGAGATTGTAGAAACCATGGACGTTTCGAAATACGACGTTATTGCGTGTGCCTCCGGTGATGGTATCCCCCATGAGGTGTTCAACGGGCTTTACAGACGTGCTGACCGTGCCCATGCGCTGGACTCCATCGCAGTGACCCAATTGCCCTGTGGCTCGGGTAATGCCATGTCAGAATCGTGCCACGGGACAGGCGAGGCCTCCCAGGCTGCCATATCGCTTGTCAAGTCACATGTGGTCAATATTGACCTGATGGCTGTGACACAGCAGGGGAAGACAACGGTGTCATTCCTGTCACAGACCATGGGTGTTATCGCAGACGCAGATATCAAGACAGAGGCTCTACGGTTCCTCGGAGCCGTGAGATTCGACATCGGCGTGGCATATGGAGTGTTTGCAGGGCACAAGTATCCCTGTGAACTCGCTGTGAAATACGCTGCGAAGTCAAAGACCGAGGTTCGTGATTATTTCGACCGTCACGTTGCCAAACTGGACGATAAGACATCCAAAATCACTGAAGAGACTTTGACGTTGAAGTACAACGCCGACTCTCCCATCCCAGATGACTGGGAAAGACTGGAAAGAGACTTCTGCGACAACATCGAAGTGTTTTACACCGGAAAGATGCCCTACATCTCGCACGACGTCAATTTCTTCCCTGCAGCACTGCCGAACGACGGGTCGTTCGACCTGATCATGATGGACTCGCGCACCCCAATCACAAGACAGACGCCGATCCTACTAAGCCTGGACTCTGGTAAACACGTCCATGCACCTGAAGTGCAACATGCAAAGGTTCTAGCGTACCGGTTGACTCCAAAATTCACAGGCGGACTACTCTCAATCGACGGCGAGAGGTTCCCGTTCGAGGAGACACAGGTCGAAGTGCTCCCGGGGGCAGCAAAGACTCTGATGAAGAATGGCATATTCAGACCAGACAGAGCACTCAACGAGATTTAGATCGCAAACAAGAAACATCCAAGGCATAGTAATGGCTTGACCTAACACAATGGTGATGTAGTGCCCCTAACCGATGAGCGCCCTCTGTTCCGAGTAACTTTTTTCATGGCCGCGGTGACTAACTTCCTCTCCCTGCTGACCACTTGTCCCGTCTCAAAGTGTTTGCCATTGGTCTAAAGATGGTCGCCTCGTCAAGTTCAAGCTCGCTACAGGAGTTCCAGCAACTGGAGCAGACCCTGCCGCCGCCTATTCAGTCTTCGTCTACAAAGATCTTCCAACAGTTTGAGCTGTCTTCCCCATCACCTGAGAACGCGCAGCAGAAGCTGAGCAGCAAGAACCCGTTGGCTCGTCTACAACAGTTGCGTAACGAGGAGTGCCATTCTCCCATTCCAACTCCAGGCCCGATACATCCTCCAGATGTCCATTATCCAGCATTGAACAAGGAGAACGCCGCCACTGGTGTGATTTGGTGTACTGATAGGGCAAGCGAGCGTGGTTATCCCCATGTCGGTGACTGGGTCAACCTGGGCCAGGGTATGCCTGAGACTGGCGATGTTCCGGGCTGCTTCAAGAGGCCTATTGAGATGAAGATGTCACTGGACAGCCGTGAGTATGGTCCTACGTCCGGTATCAAAGAGTTGAGACAAGCTGTTGCAGACTTGTACAATGACCATTTCAGACAAGGGAAGGAGTCCAAGTACACGTGGGAGAACGTCAACATTGCGCCAGGTGGAAGAGCTGCACTGACCAGGATCGCAGCCATCTTGGGAGATGCCTATCTCTCCTTTTTCTTGCCTGATTACACTGCTTACGCAGAGATGCTTTCTCTTTTCAAAAACTTTGCTCCTATACCTGTTCCTCTGTACGAGACTGATGGCTACAAGATAGATCTGAAGATCATCAAGGGTGAATTGAACCGTGGTGTGAGTGCCATCTTGACTTCAAACCCAAGAAACCCCACTGGCCAGTGTCTCACACGGGAAGAACTGCACAAATTGCACAAGATGTGTAGAGAAAAATGTCTGTTGATCATGGATGAATTCTACACCAGATATTACTACGACGGGGAGGTTGGCGAGTGTATAAGTTCTGCCAGTGAGGTTGAAGACGTCAATAAGGATCCTGTTTTGATCATTGATGGGCTGACTAAATTCTTCAGACTGCCAGGATGGAGAATCTCGTGGGTTGTTGGTCCAAAGCAGTACATCTCTGCTCTCAGTTCTGCGGGCTCATACCTCGATGGAGGTGCCAATTACCCGTTCCAAGAGGCTGCTGTGTCATTCTTGAAACCAGATTTGGTTAAACAGGAGACCATTGCGTTGCAACTCCATTTCAAGGCCAAGAGGGACTACTGTCTTGACAGGCTAATCAAGATGGGATTCAAGTTCAAAGTGAAGCCGAACTCAACTTTCTACATTTGGGTTGATCTAAGCCATTTGCCTGGTAAGCTGTCGAACTGTCTAGGGTTCTTCCACGAGGCCTTACACGAAGAGGTCATCGTTGTTCCGGGTATCTTCTTTGACCTTAACCCGTTGAGTTTCAGAGAGCTGAGCGATAGTGAGATGTATTCCTACGTCAGAATCTCCTATGGACCTGATATGGAGAGTATGGTCAAAGGAATGGACAGAATTGAGAATGTCCTACGTAAGCATGGAGCCCTGCCAGCTGGATATACCTCATAAACCGTCCTGTCTGACCAGCTCTTGGTCAAAAATGACTACGTATACGATTCGTTTGTACTAGGAAATGTCCCATAATAGAATGACTTGTGTAACAAGGACATAATGTAAAGAAAGGCCCAAAGTGCCGACAATTTTATCTGTTTTTGGAAATATGCCGAATGCTTCGCCCAATTTCCCGAAATTTCCCGAAATCTGCCTCAAAGGGACAAGAACAAAAATTTCACCGATCGGCCACCACAACCACAAAGGGACAAAACAGTGACGAAAACGGACAAAACCAATTAAAAGGAAAAAATAAAAACAGACACCGCCAAAATGGAACGAGGGAGAGAAAAAAGTGCACTTCTTTTTGTCTGTCTGTCTTCCCCTTTGTAAAACAAAAAAACCAAATTTCGAAAGGACAAACTTCGTCTCTTTTTTTAAACCCATCACCAAAATAAGAAAAGGTTAAAAAACCAAGACAAAGACAAAAAGGTCAGATGAGTTATAACAATGTAAGTGCTTTTCACTCCCAGTCTCTCCTTCGCAGTCGATAATTCTCTGGACAGTCAAGCGTCCATCACAAGCCGTTCCCAATTGTTTATTCCCCATGACCATTTGTCGTCATTCTCGTGATCGGTTGTTGTTGTTTTGTGTCCTAAATACCCCTGTGGCTGGCCCAATGGATCACCTGGACACGACATTGACCACGTTACTGTTTCTGTACACTGTCTTTGTGGACTTTTGTCCTTGTGGACTATCGACTCTGTGGATGGACCCTGAAGCTCAAGTCCCTGCGGACCGACTCGAGCCCAAGCCTCAGAGATTGAGTACTAACACAGCACCCTCTCCGCTTCATAGCAATACGGTTACGATAACAGCAACCCGTACCAGGAGAACCCATACCAAGAGAACCATGAGCTGAACGACTACAACGATGGTGGTGACGATTTCGTCAACTTCATGAACAACATTGCCAGCATCAACAACGATTTGGACAACTACAACCAGTTGGTGGAGCTGATCGAGTTCAACCAGAGAAAGCTGTTGACCGAGGTGAACGAGGACCAGGAGTTGGCGACCAGAAAGCAGCTGGACAGTCTTGTTGCACAGGCCTCTTCGCTGCAGCAGACGTTGAAGAGCAAGATTAAGGACGCTCAGGCCACCGCAGGCAATGACTCTGCAAAGAAGGCGCAGGCCGAGAACTCGAGACAGAGATTCCTCAAGTACATTCAGGACTACAGGGTCATCGAGGCCAACTACAGGGAGGAGAACAAGCAGCAAGCTGCTAGACAGTACAAGATTGTCCGTCCAGATGCGACTGATGCCGAAGTTGATGACGCCATTAACGACGTTGGCGGACAGCAAATCTTTTCACAGGCGATCATGAACGCCTCGAGAAGAGGTGAGGCTAAGACCGCCTTAGCAGAGGTTCAATCGAGACACAAGGAATTGCAGAAGTTGGAGAAGACCATGGCTGAGTTGACCCAGTTGTTCCACGACATGGAGGAGATTGTTGCTCAGCAGAATGTTCAGGTTGAGAACATTGATACCGAGATCGAAGGTGCCCAGAAGGACATTGAGATGGGGCTTGGACACACCGACAAGGCTGTTGAGAGTGCCAGAAAGGCTAGAAGAAAAAAATGCTGGTGTTACAGTATCCTTGCTTTGATTATCATCATCATCATTGTCGTTATTGTTGTTCCAATTGCAACTCATTTCAGCTGAAGCAATGGCAGCGTTCTCACTCGCGTTGTTTAACGATGGAATCCTTCTGGTGATCATGTATCTTTAATCCACTGTTCTTTTGCCCTACCTCTCTTTCCTCTTTCCTTGTCCTTTTCTGGTGTTGTTTCTTCCTCGCGTTTCCTTGTTGTCTCTATCTTTCGATCTTCACCTCTTGCTTGTTTGTTTTGTTTTCTTTGTTTTCTTTGTTTTCTTTGTTTTCTTTGTTTTCTTTGTTTTCCGTTATACCGTGGTCATCAGAAGGATGTGTGTACTATTAATGATGATGAGACTCCATGTTGTCTTGCTAAGCAGTCAGGCAACTGTTGTCCTCAGAGCTGAAGAAGAAAAGTATATATACATTTGGCAGTTAGTTAAAGCCAAGTGTATGACGAAAAAAGAGATGGAATCGCAAATGAGGCCAGAGAGGATGAGAAGCAAACTGAAGAGAAGAGGAAAGCAGGAGGATATACCTTGACCGTTCATAATGTAACCCTCACAATTAATAATTGACTTTGTTATCCTTTATACGACTCTACAATACACATACATTTCTATGGTAAAAACACACCGAGGTGCACAGCTCTATGTACAACTAATGGCTTATATAACGGGAATATGGGATAGTGATTAAAGTCCTGAAGCAATTGACACTGGAGATTGTTCCAATAAAGAACAGTTCAATCAGGGTGGAGAAATCCCTATGGTTGTTTGATCTCCCAGTAAAGACGAAAGTGTTCTATTAAACCATGGTCCAACAATCAGGACGAACCCAATTGAAGGAGTTAACTAGAAGGCTTGAACGTCCTGGTTATCTTGATTGGAGAAAAGAAGAAAGACCAGAAGTGTGTAAAGGAAAGGAAACGAGAAGTTGAAAAGTTTTCTCTGCAAAAGTGGGCGATGTCCATTCTGGTGGTGTCCGGGTTTGTTGGTGTCCGGGCTTGTTGGTGACCGGGTGTTTCGGTGTCCGGGTTTGCCATACGCCGATGCCCATGTGCTATATTATGGCCCTGGATTCATCATGTTCACCAGTGTTGTGTCTCTTGATGATTGACCAGCTGTATTCCCCGTGTCGCTGATGAAGTACTCGAAAGCTCAGCATCAGGTCGCTGGCCACGACGGTGCTTTGGTCGATGATACCGGTATGGTATTCATCAAGCCGAGCACTGAACAAGAGATCCAATTCTATACCCAGATCCAAGCTATGGAGTCCTCTGCTGGTGACGACGACAACGAAGAGGCCCTCTATCTCACTGACTTCTTGCCTGCGTTCATGGGCACCCTACAGCATGGGATATCCGAACAGGTTGAACAGAGCCAGCAGGTTACAGACGAGCTGCGCCAAATGCATACGAGCCAATCTCAATCCCAAACGGCTAGTGATATTGATCCTTCGATTCCATATCTGGTCTTGGAAAACCTGCTATACCCGTACAAGCACCCCTCGATCATTGATATCAAGCTTGGCTCGGTGCTACACGACGAGAATTCCTCAAATGAAAAGAGAGAACGGCTACAGAGGGTTAGTGAAGAGACAACATCTGGCTCTCTGCACTATAGGGTCTGTGGTATGAAGTTATATGGTGATAAAGTGCCAGACTTATCAAAATTCGACAATGCTGATGGCCATGT